AACTACAAAAAAAAAAAAAAAGGAAGAAAGAAAGAAAAGAATTTCTCTAAATAAAATGTTACTATATGATTTGGTACATTTTAAAAAGTGATCATCGTGGCCAGCCGGTGGCATGGTGGTTGGGTGTTGGACACACACGTCCGACCGCAGTTCAAGTTCCAGACCTGGAAGCTTGCTTTCTCACTTTCCCTTTCCTCTCTCTGACTCTGTATCTCTGGCGAGTACACATGCCCTGTAGCAAACTGAAACATGATAATAATGATAAATAAAATTAAATGAATGAAATGTTTTAGAAAAGTTGTAGCGAACAGCCATTCTGTGCAACACAATAGTGACCTTTGAACACATGCAGAAACGCGGTTCTTTGGGCTGCTGTCTGCAAGGCTGGCCGAGGTACGCTAGCTGTCTCCACGTGGAAACTGCAAGGCGGTGTGGTTAAGGGAAGCCATATGTGTTCATCAGAAAAGGCCGAAGAGATGTACATAGAGCTCCATGGCACCAGAGGTCTTTACTTCAGTCGCTCAACATCTGAAAACGACCGGCTTTGATTCCACTTCCTTTCTCCCATTTTTTGCCCCGTAAGAGAATAAACCTGGGAATGGCTAGGGTGGGGACACAGCTGCCCCGATCCCCACTTTTCTCTACTTATGTGTCTGTGTGTTTATTTTTATGTTTATTATCTAATCCACAGTCACCCCCAACTCAGAGCATGCTTTCAGTCATGTGAGTCTACGCAAAAAGTGATTCTTGCTAAGGAGAAAAAGAAAGGTTTTTTGTTTGTTTTTGTCATAGAGTGCATGCGTTCACCAGAGAGATAGAGCGAGAAAGAGGGAAAGTGAGAAATCACCCCTCAGACGTGATGGTCACACCACAGTCCCTTCTTCTCCAGTCCCCTTTCAGGATTTTGGGCACACACACAGGTGCCCAGCATGATTTTTAAACTGCCAGGTCCAGGACTTGAACCATGGTCAACCATGTAGAAGTCCAGGACCTTATCTATCATGCCACCTGCTGGCCCCAAGAAAAAAGTTTTAGGACCAAATTTGAGGTCTCCACACCATTCCAGGACTAAATCAGAGAATCCTATTCCAAAATCCTATGTGAGGAAGGCCTCAATATAATCTAGACGCACCTGTGCAGACGACCTGAAAATGGTTCAAGAGGATAAAGGGAGAAAGCTGCCATTTGCCTGAAAACAAAACAAAACAAACACCACCAAACCAAGGAGACGGGAAAGAAATAGGGCCAGCAGGTGGCATGGAGGTTAAGACGCTGGCTTCCACATGACCACAGCTCGAATCCCCGGACCCAGGGGCTTGAAAAATATGCCAGGTGCAGGTGGTGTGTGTGCCCCAAATCCAGAGAGTGGAAGAAAAGAGACTGCAGCGTGGCCATCCCCCCCGGGGTGATTTCTCTCTCTCTCTCTGGTAAGCATACAAGTCCTGTAGCAAAACTGAAAGTCAAAACAAACTAACTGGCATCTCCTAATCCATAATCCAGACCGCTGCTAAAATGCCTGTTAATCCTGGGCCAGCCAGGTGGTGTGGTGGCTAAGGTAACTGGATCCCATATGGCACAGTTTGAGTCTCAAACCCGGGAACTTGAACACTCCCGATGCGGATGCATGCGTGCCCCGACTCCTAAGAGGGAAGTGAGAGACTGGACTGGTGTGGTCATCCCTCTTGGGGAGCCTCCTCACTTTCCCTCCCTTTCTGGTTCCCCGCAGCACACGCACACATGCTGTAGCAAACGAGAAAAACAAACAAAAAAAGGTGTTAATTCTAATTTTAAACCTTACCTTATGCTTGATGGATCCTCAAGCATTTTCTCTGACACTGATAACAACTTTTAGCTTCAAATCTTACAAAACTTCCTAAAATCCAGGCCAGCTGGTGGCACACTGATGTAAGGTGGCTGGATCCTGTATGGCTGCCTCTGTGGCTAACTATGTGGTTCGATCCCCTAACCCGGTGGCTTGAACAAACATGGTAGGTGCACATGCAGGAGTGCCCAGACGCCAGCAAGGAGAGAGAGATGGGAGAAGGGATTGCACATGACCATTCCCCGTGGGAAGGTGCATTCTCGCTCTCCCTTCCTCTCTCTTTAGCAAGTAAGTAAGTGCACGTGTCCTCTGGCAACTTTTTTTAATTCCTAACATCCAACTGTTTCTGTTCACTATGAATGTGCTTGCTAAAACATTTTCAGCAGAGGGGGTCAGGAGGCAGCACGGTGGATGGGGTGCTGGACTCCCACATAGCCAACCCTGGTTCAAGTCCCTGACCTTGCGCTTGTTTTCTCACTTTCCCTCTTTCTTTTTCTCTCTGGTAAAGTTAAAGTGATACAGGGACCAGCAGTTAGCGTAATGGCTATGTCGCTGGACTCCCACGTAGTCGACCGTGATTCAAGTCCCGGACCCGGTGGCTTAAACTCACGCCGGGCACATGTGTGTGTGTGCCCGAGATCCTGAGAGGAGAATGGAGAAGGGATTGCAGTGTGGCCATCCCCCGGGGGGGTGATTTCTTGCTTTCTGGCTCTCTGTCTTTCTGGCGAGCGCACATGCCCTATAGCAAAAACCTCTCCAAAAAAAATAACCAAAAAAAGTGATACACAAAGACACACTGATGTTCAAGGAGTTTAAAACAAAAAGGATTTAATGCAACAACAACAATAATCTGAGGATAAATAAATCCATAACAGACTTCAAAGTTTCAAAATGTTTTCCTTTCTTTGCAGAGAGAATGGTGTTCCGAAAGCACATGGGACTGAGGATGCCGGAACCAAACCGCACGTCTGCGTGTCCCCAGGTGACACAGGCGGCTGCACGCTGCTCAGAGCACC